AAGCTCCTCACATTACTCCGTCCCATTTGATCCGTATGATTTTATAGAACTTGTGCATCCCCAGTACCATATTACATGCGCATACTCCCTGGTGCTTGTAATTTTAACACACAATGCTAGGAAAAATGCCTCGAGAATTGTGCGCATGGTGGAATCTGATTCTTGGCTAAGCTAAGATGTGACATTTGCACGAACTGATAGAATAATGGTGTCTGCAAAATTATTCTAATCTTCCTCCAACACTAGAGACAATATCGTGCACACATCCTAATGCTATTACCCTCATTGATGTTCAAACTGAAAAATAAGCCACTTGAATTATTATACTAACATGGCAAAGTCACTTCCATCTGAGCACTCACTGTATCAAAGGAGAATCTAATAATTCACCAGTTTCAGATATGAAAATAAAGAAAATTATTTCAGATAACCTCCTATATACATATAATTGTAATTAGATACATGTTGATAAATGACGTACTATGATCTTCATGCAAATTTACATATTTGTTCATGAAACAGAGCGAAATAAAATCGGGGATCAATGTATTAGTATTGTTGAACATACAAGCAAAATAATATAAACAAATCAAAGCACTTGAAGTGCAGGAAAGTAAAAGCAATCTACCACAATTTACAGACACTTTTACTGTGTACCAAAATGCTGTTAAAGTTTTAGCTCTTAGCAATATTTTTGGAAAAAGCATGGTCATGCGTTGGAAGACAAAAATTAATAGGAAGACATACATATCAAGCACAAATTGTTCAATTTACATCAGTTTGACAAATTTGGCCGGGTAGATGAAACTTTGGAACATGACGACCTATGCAAAGGCAATTAGGCCATGAGATTGTTAATGGAAAAGCATTGTTTTTTGTTTTTGCCTTCCTTAATTGAGTGCTAAATGCTGAAATAGATTCACCAGCATCTACCAGATTCGAAATCATGATGAACAAGTAGATAAAAGTGCATGAGAATATTACAACAGATTGCGTACAGATAGGTCTTGGAAATGTAAAAGAAATAAAAAAAAACACACATTCATTGCCACAATTACTTCCCCTGGTCGTTGAACATCCACTCGATCCACTCAAATTTCTCGTCCACGTCTTTCATGACGGCGAGCGTGTCACGGTACTGCTTATGGGCCAGAAGCTGGCATGTGTAAAAGTAAAGAGGTGTACGCCGCTCGAGCCGACTTATCGCTAGCAACTCTTCGACATAGTTCGCACCAGCGCTTTCATTTGAAGCCATCATCATATGAATTTTCGCCGCCATTTCCTCCGCTGCACTAGTGGCACGGTCTATTGAGAAAGACAGTTCATAAGCAGACATCTTTTTTTTTTCCTGCCCCTTCGCTGCCAGCTGGAAGATTTCCTTTTATTGCCACATGTGGTGCTAGAAACGTTCTCGCGGGCACGAACCACCATCTGTTCGGCCTCATCACTCGAACCACTGCTCTCATCGTACATCGGGATTGCATCCCTATTGTCCTCGAGCGTACTATCCTCGTACAGGCTAAATCTCGTTCTGCACAACTTCATTGGAGTGATAGCGTACTTGTCTGCATCGTAGCTGTCGCTAAATAGCTGACGGTATTTTATGTATATCTCGCTAACGTCTCTGTCCTTGAAGTCTTTATAGAGCACGTTCTCTTACATAAATCGGGACCCACAATGAGAGTACCGGAGGGAAATGCAATTCGAAATGTATCAAAAACATAAACAACCATTAGAGAAAAATTAATATTGAGTACGAAGTAAACGACACGAGTAAGTCAGTTCATAGACATGAGGTGGGTACTTTAAATAAAGAGATAGTACCCAGAAACCAAATAAAAAGGGAAAGAATATCAATTTCAGTTGGAATCCAACAAATTCATATTTTCTTCCCACTATCTTCCATTGAAACAAGCTGAGCATTAATGAGACACTGAAGCTTGCAATAATACTATTCTACACCAAACTACAGGTATACCATCACTGATGATGAAGCAAGTCTTAGATACTAAAGTCTCATACAATAAAGAATCAACGACTGATAGTATAACAACATCTATTCTGCAAAATCCGAATAAAGTGTCTTCTCTCTTGATGCAACCGTCAGCTTAAATTTTAAATTTAACCATAGACCTTAAAGAGGTACTTTATCACATTTCTTGTTAATCACCCACGTCGGTCACCTGTCAACATTGTTGGAGGAAATCCTTGCTCGTCCATTCAACTTATTACTTGACATGAACATGAAATAAAGGAATCACCCCAAAAGGAAAAAACTTTATGATAACTGGAACAAATGCCAAAATTAATGTTTTGATTTATGGGTTGTACACATGAATTTGTATTCCTAGAAGCAGCACAAAGCATTCTATACATTGTGCGACAAAACAAGTTCAGTGAAAATGACATATAACGAATACCAAACGTTTGATGCTAGTATGGGTATTAACCTAATGCAGCAGTGTTTTCATCTACACTCACAATATTTGCCATCAAAACATAGGAAATTGAATATGAGTTAAAGGCTAAGTAAGAACTATGATAAAGTTTTTGGTATAATATAATTCAGTTTTCAGACTAAGATATCCGATGCAAATGTAAAGACACAGCAATGTACCAGAAAGGCAGTAAGCGGGCGCACTAATCGCACTTGCAGGAAAACGGGTTGTTGAGAAATTGGAAATCCATTACCTTAATTTGTCGGTTCCACCATTCTTCAGAAGCAACAATTTGGCCGGTAGCGTCGTTATACTCGATCCCCTATTGACAAGCTCTGATAGACGCTTGTATGTTCGGCGCATTGAATTCCAATGATTTCGCTGCTGTGTCGGCTCTAGTTATGGCCGGTCACTGAGTTGAAGAGTGAGCCAACCCGTTCCCAGCCGTGTTTGGTGAAACACTTCCCGTTCCAGTGCCCCTCGGCTATGGCGGTCTTGCACGCCGCAATGAAGACTCGGTTGGCATCTGGGCTCCAGCGAGCATATGACTTCGCGGCTGACTGTCGTGACGTCCCCGTCTCAGGGTAGAAAGGTCCTCTAGCAAGGTGTCCTGCCTGCGAAGTGGAGGAGTTGGTCAGCAGCAACGAAAATCGAGGGGAAGTGGAGAGGGGAAGGAGATTGCAGTATTCGTACTTGTTTCTCGGTGTAATCCATTATTTGTCACCGTTGTTGTGTTGTTCTGGCGTCGTCGTACAGCTGGAAACTGACAAGAACTGGTAACGGTTGCTATGGGACATGTTCACGGTATGGGAAGGTGAAAGATCAAGGGCAGTGCACGGGTTCTTCAAATATTCGGCCAGTGTTTTGGGTAGGTAGACTGTTGTCAGGTTCAAAGTTGAAGGTTGGAGAAAGAAAGTGTCGGTGAGAGAGGCATTGTGAGGGAAAAAAAGAAAAATTTATGTACTTTTTTATGCATGGGGTTGTCAGAAAAGTGGGGACAGGGAAAGATAAAAATTTATGTACCTTTTTATGCATGCATGGGGTTGTCAGACAAGTGGGTTGCAAGTGAGAGGGGCATTGTGAGGGAAAGAGGAAAAATGATGTACTGTATAATTAATTTTGAGTAAGTGAAAATGACTACCAAACAACCTCTTAAAATCTGAATAAAAAGGTGTTCGAAAATGATCATGGAGATAAGATAATGACACTAGGAGATGTTCCATTCTCAATTCCCAACCTTTTGTATCCAATTTACAAGAAAGTAATTCAAAATAAGAAGTCACCTTCAAGTGTTGTCTTTTCTATTCAAAAGTTGCAGTGAGTTTACTCAAATAGTTCCCTCTCCTTTCCATTGTCAACACCAACTTCAACTTCAACTTCAACTTCAACTTCAACTTCCTTTCTACCACCAGCTACAGTTCAGGGAAAAAGTCGCGTTTCTAAAAATTTGCAAAAGAGAAATTATCCCCTTTTTTGTTCGTAACTAGTCCGATGCGATAAAAAAATGACATGGTACTCAGGCCCACGAAACAACGTTAAGGAGCGACTAACTAGAAAAGAAAAAAAAAATGACTTCTAAAACTTCGAGGAAGATTGTTAGATAAAACTGAAAAAACTGAAAATCAACATACTTGTAAGGGTGAAAAAACCTTGAAATTCAAATACAAAAAACAAATAATATGAATACTACAATCACGACATTACTTTAATATATATTTCGATTATAATTTTATTACTCTTGCGAGGGAAACATAATTTTTTTGAATTATTCTTGAGATACATAACCATGTACATAAGAGTGTCCAAAG